CAAATAAGAGATTATGTTAGATCCCTCATACCGGAATTTCCTGTTTTGCTCCCTGGAAACCATTTAGATTATTTTCTTTCTTGTAATATACTAGCTAAAGGCTCAATTTCTAGGTTGTATAATCTACTTCTGAACCAATCATCTACCCTGACAGATAACATTAAGAGTGCTTGGGAAGAGGATCTTTGTGGTTCAATTTCGAATGATCTATGGAACGATATTCTTAAAAAAATTCACTCATCATCAATGTGTGCCCGACACTCCCTTATTCAATTTAAAGTAGTGCACAGAGCTTATATTTCTAAGACTAAATTAGCCCAAATGTTTCCAGGTACTAGTCCTTTGTGCAATAGATGTAATTGTGCTGAGGGCACTTTATTTCATATGTTCTGGACTTGCCCCAACTTAGAGCATTTCTGGAAGTTAATATTTGACACGTTATCTGTGATTCTTCAGCACAAGCTGGATCCAGATCCACAGGTGGCACTATTTGGGGTTACTTCAGAGGATATACAGTTGCCTTCTTCAAAATGTAAAATAATTTCATTTTCAACTTTATTGGCACGTAGGGCTATTTTGCTAAAATGGAAGGATTCTCATCCTCCCACTCATGCTCAGTGGATTAGAGAAATTATGTCTTGTCTTCATTTAGAAAAAATCAGGTTTTCATTAAGAGGGTCGGAGGGAAAATTTTTTAAGGTGTGGCAACCTTTTATTGATTTTGTGGAAAATCTCAAATAATTTGATTTTTCTATACATATGGTCTGTATGGTTATATGTTAGCTGAATAAATGCTTTTTCCTTTTTTTTTAATTTTTTAATTTTTTATTTTTTTTATGTTTTTATTAAGTTTTCTTGTGTGTTTTTTTTATTTATTTATTTATTTATTGTTATTATGGTTATAATAATTATTATTTCTTTGTATTTGTATTTAAACCTACATGTACAATTGTATATTTGCTAATTTTTGGCTAATGTGAGCGCTATCCCGCTGTTGGATTGGTATGGGTTTGGGGTTTGTATTGTTGTTCTTTCATATTTGAAAAACTGAAACTCAATAAAAAAATATTGAAACACAAAAGTGTGGCTAGTGAAAATGGAGAGTGGCTCGTAATGTTGGAAATCTACTAGCCACAGTGGCCGGTGATCAAAAAAGATAATATCAAGCCCTGCATTTAATATTGAGCCATGGTCGGCCCGGGCTCAAACTAACCTTTTCGTCGTCTTGATGAACAGCCACAATGCCAAAAAGAAGAGCAGATTTACCCTGTGCCTCTTCAGCCAGTCTGAAGCGCGAGCGGTTTCGCATTCTTACTTGCGCTCGCCGCGTGTCTATATCTGAAATAACAAACTTCTTGAGCTGATGATAATAACGTGTGCTTGATTATTGACGTGCTTTTGAAACCCGATCCTGTCAGAAACTGACAAACGGGAGACTGAAGCGTGGACAAAAACAAGGGAGAAGCCGGAAAAAAAAGGAGCACATTATTTTTTCAGCAAACGTGAACAAACTGCCCTGTTTAACTATTATTATCATCACCTTTTGGTCTAATATGAACTCAGAATGACTTTCTAACAGAGGTTACATATGCTGCTGAAGATTACAGACACCGATAAGATGTTTTCACTGACTGTCGGCTATGTTTTGTGTTGTTTTTGAACCTAAATAAGCACTAAATGTATGCTGTGTGTAGTTGTTCTGTAGTTGTTAACTTATTGGAGACTGTAAGGGGCTGTATGTGTTTAGATGTTGCATTTATTTATTTATTTAATATAATTACAGACGTTACAGTAGGCTATTTCGCACTTTCGTCATTGATCTGCAGTTATAATTAAATCATGTTCATAGAAAAGTTAGTAATAAACATTCATACACAAGTATTTACGTGTATAAATCGTCTGTTTTGTGAGAAGTGCTTCTCATATGATTTGTAAGCGACCCGTACAGCTTTGCTGTAGACATTTTCTCAAGCGAAAATGATGTCGACTGAAACTTTGTCGTACACCACACCCATCAAAATGGTGGTAGTGGAAACCTACACCTGATATAAGTAAACCGTACCAACCCGAACCGTATCGTACTGTACCAGTCAGTGGAAACGAGCCATTAGTTTGATTTAAGAGTTCTACAGTTTTCTTGTTTTTGTAGCTATATATTTCATGTCATCTCTTTGCTGATAGGACTTATTTTTTATACACATTTGTAAGTTTGTATATTATAAGGAAAAAATGGAATAAAAATGTTGAAAATAAACTACTGATTCAGATACACAAATACACACACACACACACACACACACACAGAATGTAAATGACTGTCACTGCATTGAGTGCAGGTTTCGTATTCATATCTACAGTGGTAGAATGATATACACAAAGTTGATTTTACCTCAGATTTGAAGTCATGGTTCGCTACATTTTTAGTAAAGTAAAGTAAAGAACTTTTATTGTCATTGTAGTTGTACAACGAAATTTGTTTGGTAACTCACAGAGACCAGCAGCAACATAAAAAGAGAGAAAAACAAACAATAGACATAATACTAAAATATAAGAGGCAAGATAAAGTATACTAAATGTAATAAGTCACATAAAAAAACCAACAATAGACATAATACTAAAAATATAAGATGTAAGATAAAATATACTAAATGTAATAGTCACAGTATTTACATTATGGCAAATGAGTGCAAACATGAATATCCATCTTAGCGCCTGACAGAGTAAACTTAGTAGACAAAAAAAAAACAAAAACGCTGCTGTGTATCTGGGAGCTCCGAGCCGCTGTGTCTGCACGCGCAGCCATCTTGAGCAATGCTATGGCATGGGTAAAAAACTAAAAATAAAATAACTTTTATTTTCATTTACATTGAGTCATTTAGCAGACGCCTTTATCCAAAGCGACTTATAAATGAGGACAAGGAAGCAATTTACACAACTATAAGAGCAACAATAAGTGTTATAGGCAAGTATCAGGTCTGTAAAGTCTAAGAAGGAAAGCATTAGTAATTTTTTTTTTTTGTAGTTAGTTAGTTGAGGAGTCGGAGAGGTTGCATATTAGTAAGGAAAGTGGAGACCAAATAGTTGAGTTTTTAGTCCCTTTTTGAAGACAGCGAGTGACTCTGCCGTTCTGATGCAGTTAGGGAGTTCATTCCACCAACTGGGCAGATTGAGTGTGAGCGTTCGGGAAAGCGTTTTCTTCCCTCTTTGGGATGGAACCACGAGGCGACGTTCATTCACAGAACGCAAGTTTCTGGAGGGCCTATAAATCTGCAGAAGTGAGATCAGATAAGAAGGGGCGCAGCCAGAAGTCGCTTTGTAAGCAAACATCAGTACTTTGAATTTGATGTGAGCAGCAACTGGCAGCCAGTGCAAACGGATGAGTAGCGGAGTGACGTGCTCTTTTAGGTTCATTGAAGACCACTCATGCTGCTGCATTCTGAAGCATCTGAAGAGGTTTGAGTTAGCTGGGAGCCTGGCTTATAGAGAGTTGCAATAGTCCAGTCTGGAGAGAACAAGAGCTTGAACAAGGAGTTGAGCTGCATGTTTAGATAGAAAGGGTCGAATCTTTCTGATGTTGTAGAGTGTAAATCTGCCTGATCGAGCAGTTCTAGAGATGTGGTTAGAGAAGTTTAGCTGGTCATCAATCTGCCCCATCGATCTGGATTAAAAAGTTGTGATGTGGAGTCAAGTTGGCAGAAACTTCTAGCATTTCCGTTTTTGCGAGGTTAAGCTGAAGATGATGATCTTTCATCCAGTGTGAAATGTCCAACAGGCAGGCTGAGAAGCGAGCTGGAACCGAGGGATCATTAGGGTGAAAAGAGAGGTATAGCTGGGTATCATCAGCATAGCAGTGGTAGGAGAATCCATGTTTCTGGATGACTGATCCCAACGATGTTGTGTAGAAAAGTGGGAAAAAAGGAGAAAAAGGGACCATCAAAATAAAGTAATACCCACATAAAATGTAATATTCAAGTTCTTTTCAACCACACTCATTTTCTTTATTTTCCTTTATTTGAAGTTCATGTTTGGCATTAGCCGAAAACAAAAAAATATTTTCTTATATACATTTTTAATATAATTAAAGTACGTTTAATGATCTCTACTTTGTCTTTAGCATGGTGCAGACCCGTCTAAGAAGAACCGTGATGGTAACATGGCTCTGGACATGGTGAAAGATGGAGACACGGACATTCAAGACCTGCTGCGTGGAGACGCCGCTCTGCTGGACGCTGCCAAAAAGGGCTGTTTGGCCCGAGTGCAGAAACTCTGCAGCCCGGAGAACATCAACTGTAGAGACACACAGGGCAGGAACTCCACACCGCTGCACCTTGCGGGTAAAGTGGTTTTCTAGACCTTTAATGTCCATTCGTCATCCCTGTCTGGTGTTTTAATGGTGAATTCACTTGTCTTTGATCAGCTGGCTATAATAACTTGGAGGTGGCCGAGTATCTCCTGGAGCATGGAGCGGATGTGAACGCTCAGGATAAAGGAGGACTGATTCCTCTGCATAATGCTGCTTCATATGGGGTGAGAGGCTACACAATATATCATAATATATCAATCATCTGTCTAGTCGTAGTGCTTGTGCCCATTTATGAGCTGCAATGATCATGGCTTCATTAATGCTGTTTTTAATGGTCTGTTTTCTGGTTGTCCAGCATGTGGATATCGCCGCCCTGCTGATCAAGTTCAACACGTGTGTGAATGCGACAGATAAGTGGGCCTTCACTCCTTTGCATGAAGCTGCTCAGAAGGGCCGAACACAGCTGTGTGCACTGCTACTGGCACATGGTGCAAACCCCACCATGAAGAATCAAGAGGGACAGACTGCTCTGGACCTCGCCACGGTAAATAATCACACTAATACTGCAAGATAGTGTTCCTTTGAGGCCATTTACATCAAGCATTAGAACTATAAAGATAACAATAAAGACATTTTTTATATAGTTTCATCTGCTCAGATGTATAATGTTTTGTATTTTAATGAGTTTTTTTTATTATGGAGTTTTAAGAGATACATAAT